ACATTCACCAATTAACCTCAACATGTTTCTGGACTGTGTGGGAGGAAGCCAGAGAACCCAGAGAGAACCCACGCTGCACGGGGAGAACATGCAAACTCCACGCAGAAAGATCCCGGGCGTCCTGACTGGGACGCGAACCGGCAACCTTCTAGCTCCGAGGTAACGGTGCCAACCACTGATCCACCTTGCAGCCCGAGTGTAATGTCAGTTATGTTCATATCTGGCAAACCTCAGCAACTTTAGTCCTGTGTCTTATAAGGCCATCATTAGCATTTCTTCTGCATATAAATTTGGTCTCACATGGGATTATGCTACAAGGGCAGTGGTGCGCATGCTCTGGAGCAGTTTACATTTATACGGAATACATGATCTACTGCAGATAGAGAGGAGTCCTCCCTGTGGACTCCTGGCAGACTAGGAAGTAGTATAATAAAAACAATTACACGTCTGTGGTGTCAGAGGCTGTAGGTTTGCTCATCCTCAAGGGAGCATGATCAAGGCCTAACGTATGTGTAGGCTGGAGATGAAGCAATAATTAAAGTAAATCAAACATACTTAACTACATACACATCATGTTTATATGGAGCCTAGTACTGATAGTAACATGGGGCTAATCAGGGAAAGCTTGACAGGAAGTTCATGTCACCAGTTCATTTTTAAGCCTTCGGTAGATTTAGAGTCCTTCTTGTCTGTGGAGGAAAACATAAAACATCCCCCACATGTGCCCCAGCCTCACCTGCAATATGTAGCGATGCATTGCGGCTGGTGGCCTTGCCTGCGCTGTTGGTGGCCACACAGGTGTAGATGCCCTCATGCAATTGACCTTTCCTTCGCCCTCCCACACTCAGGAAGAACAGGGCCCCATCTACCAAAATGATGGGCTGCAACGGGTCTGTCTGCAGCGGCTGACCGTTGTACAGCCACTCGATGACCGGCTTTGGGTTGCCGTCGGCCCGGCAGGAGAGGGAGGCAGGGTTGCCAGCTTTCACCACCACATCAGTGGGCTGGTGGACGATGTGGGGCGGCGTCTCTTCTGCACGGACTCTGAAACCTGGGGGAGAACGAAGAGATGTTGTTGACTGTAAACAGAATCCAAGCATACATTTGGTAGCACAAGAAATGTTCTTTTTAATCAGATTTAGCAGAAGAAACATCTATACAATAAGTGAAGAAAAAATGTCCGTTAATTCCTTTTGTTTTCATCACACTGTGTGCTATGATTACACTGTTTGATTCACATAGGTTTGACTGCAGATAATTAAGGTACGGAACTGTAGGAATTTGAGCTCTGTCCTCTTGGGATGACAGCATACAGTGCTTTTCTTTTTTTCCTGTATAGAAGAGCAACACCCAAACAGCAACCCCTAGCACTACGCGTTAACACCCCTGAGTTCATTTGACTAGCAACAGAACACCCAAAACAAACAATTTTAAGCTCTGATACCAACAAACAATGTGTATTTGCAGCCAGCTGCGGTGAAAAGCCATTGTTTGAACTTCCCATGGAGTTGGATGACCACACTGAAGGAAACGGGGAGACTGTGATCAGTTTCCTGACAGGAGAGGAAGCTAGAGGGTCTCAGGAACATCAACTCCGACAAAAGCAGACTGGAACTCCCCCATCAACAGCATATCCGCAGCAGAACAAAAGGACACTCATCTTTAATCCATTACAGAAGACTGACAACATTTTTTTTTTTTTTTTAAGTTATGCAGCAACTACACAAGATATCTTAAAGGGTAAAAAGATTTAGATGATGCTTCCGGTGATTCATAATATTCCTAAACTTAATGTTACATGTCATTGAGGTCATTCAGAACCAAGCAGAGCTGTATCCTTACAAAGAGGCGCTTCAAACAGTCAGATTGTAATAAGTGTGGGAATATGCATGACTTGTGAACATTAAGAATCATCTGTGAAATGTATTGTATCACATCTGAACTGAATATAATCATATCTGACCAAATATCTCTGGCTGTATTAAAAGGGTACGGACGATCAACAAACAGGGTGGTGCTTTTTGAACGGTTCATTCATTCACTATAGCCGGAAATGCCTTCAAATTACAGCTAACAATAGCCTGTTTAACCTCGTTGTCATTGTGGACCTTCAGATTCAGGGCCAAGAGAGGATGCAGCCCAAACATCAGTGAGTCACGGTGGAAAAATTCTCAACATTTACAGGTTTTTTTCTCAGGAGAAAGGTCATGATGAGGAAACTCGTCACCGTCCAGACCTCGTATGATGTTCAGTTTGTCACAAAAAATATAGACACAACAAATTCAAAATTGTGAGATCCAAACAAATGACACATCTTAGGTTTATTGCTAATGAAGCACCTCAGGTGTCCTTGATCAAGACACCGAGACCTCCTGTGGTTTGTTGATCTGATGATCATTTACATGAGCTTTTAAGTGAAAGGCCCCCAAATGTACCAGTTTCAGACTCTCAGATGTGAACATATGCAGTCTTTTACAGTGAATAGATAGATTTTGGGCTGTTGGTCAAACAAGACAGGCAATCTGAATTAGATTCCAGACAAAATAATGAATTTAAAATTTCTGTCTATAGTCACCACTCTGTGATCTCCAGTGACGTGTCACTCGCAGCAATATCTGACTAATTACATGTTACCGCTTCAACAATGAAGGATGACAGATGTCAAACATAATTTTTTAAAAAGGCAGTTCAGCAAAGATTTGCGCTGGTGTTATTCTAAACTTTGACACACAGATTTACCTGCTACTGCAAATGTTTATCAGTTCCACGTATGGGTTATAGCTCTCCTCGATTACTAATAGATGGTATAAATCCTAAAAACCACCTGATCGTATCCGAATATGTCAGCTTGGAGTCTGCAAACTGTGATTTGTAATTTTTATCAGCTGTTTTCACAAGTCAAACTTTAAAAATTTCTCATAATCTGTTTGCAGTCATAAACACATTATCACTGTTTTAGTATTTCTAAGATGAGATGTTTCATTTAGAATATTTACGACATGCTAAATTAAAAAAAAAAAAAAAAAAAAAAGTGGATTATTAAAGATTCTATGTGAATGTAGATGTAGATGTGTTGTAGACATGAAGCTCTGAGTAGCAGCAGAATAACGTGAAAGTATCCTGACCAGACTCCATCCTTTAAGACACCTCACAGAATCAACAAGTCATATGTTCTGTCCTTTGATGCATGTCAGTTCAAAAACAATTATTTTAGGGATGTCAGGGAAATACTAGTTTACTATCATGGTTTGTTTGCGAGTCACACTTTGACAAATGACTGTTTCAGGGCTCACTTACCTGACAGAAGAACTGCGAGCAGCAACACGAAGCTCCTCATGTCAACAGTTCTCATCATGAGCAGCAGTCAGAGAAATATCTCTAATAAGCTAACTAACTAAGTAGCTAAACACTGTCCGAATAATTTAAACAACGAGAGAAAAAAAGAAAAAAAAAACTAATCTGTTTTCTGCTACCCCAACATTTTTTTCCCTCATTTAAGAGCCACCCGTACGTGAAACCTACTAGTTGAAAGTCGCTCCATAATGAACCTCAGCGCCACACCGACACGGGAAGAATGTCAAGCAGCGACATGCAGCTACTGCTGGACTTTTCAAAACAAAAGCATCTATACCAACTCAATGACGTTATATACAGTTACATAGCGTTTACAACATACAGAAATTAGATTTTACGTAGTATTGGATATAGAGCTGGCAGAATGCATCCTACTCGCAACTGTTTTTGCTTTTTTTTGTTGGTCGTTTCCGTGTCGAAAAGGTCTCTCGGTTTTAATTTGGAGGCAGCACGGATAGCCCCCAAAACTCACGTGTTTCTGTAACGAACTTGACAGACGCAGTAATTAAACAGTGTGATTCTCTGCAATTTTACAGTCAGCAGAGTAAAAGAATAGACTGTGTGGATATGTTGACATGGTGTTTTTGACTGTACGGAAAAAAAGGAAACAAAAAAAGTCTAAACGGCACTATCAGACTGTGTTAAGCTTAAGTTTTTCACTGTGGTGGGCTGAGCATCCCTGCTGATTCCACCAGAAAACCATTTGATCATTTAAAAATATATTATAACAATAACAATAATAATAATATTTTTTGTATGCATTATCTAACATTTATATTGCAGTTAAAGTAAGACCTGCATCCCATTTGGAAAATAATTTTAAAATGTGATTTCACATTTAGTTCAATAATAACATAGCTGTAGTCTGTTATGATTAAACAAACCTCTCATTTTGTTCACTTACATATACAGTGCTTCACAAATGTATTAGACCACCTCTCAATGTAAGGTTTACAGCTACCCTAAATGAACAGCATTACCATAATCATTGTTTATGTTTCTGTAATAGTAATACACCAGTATGTAGAAGCTCTTAAACCAAAACGATATTTTTAATGCTAAAATAGAATTATTTTTGTTATCTATGAATGAGGCACACAGCACAAATAAAAAAATGTTCAGGTTCGCCTTAAAAAAAAAAAAAAAAAAAGGGGGAAAAAAAGCACTTTCAGACTTTCAGGATTATAAAAAAAAAAAAAAAAAAAAAAAAAGTTATGTTCACTCCGTGGCTCCCTTCGGCTAACGAAGCCTCCAAAAGACGCCCGGAAGGATT